AGAGGAAGAGAGGCCCCAGTGATCCAGGGGGCTCAGCAGATGGTCCAACAAAAAAGAAAGTGGCCAGGGCGGCTGTTAAATCTGAACGCCCGAAGGTCGTGAAGGATGAAGCCTTCAGTGATGAAGAAGATGTCAGGTGAGGTGGCTGCAAGCCTTGGGCCAGCTGGTGACTGTTCCCATTAGAGACGTGTGGATGATAAAACCCACTCTTTCTGCCTCTCTCTAGGATCTGTGAAAAGATGGGGTCTTTAAACTTTTCTAAACAGAGCTCAGTTGATTTATTCTGGGGGCCAGCAGGTGGCGTAAGGGTTAAGGCACTGGACTCCCATATGGTTGACTGTGGTTCGAGTCCCAGACCCAGCAGCTTAAAACTCATGCTGGGCGCATGTACATGCATGCCCAAAATCCCAAGAGGAGAATGGAGGAGAAGGGACTGTGGCTTGGGGTATGATTTCTCAATTTCTGTTTCTCTGTCTCTCCAGGAAGAATACTCACCTTATAGCAAAAATCTCTGGAAAAAAAAAAAAAAATAGGAAGTGATTTATCCTTTTGGGGCATCAGATAAGTCATGATACATTTTTGCATAGAAAAGTATAGAAAAATACATGATGACTTTTCCGATGATGTAATAGTTACACAGCTAAAGAGTGCCAAGACCAGGAGGAGAATGCATCTTCTGACTCTTGGGCTAGGACCTTTTCCACTCCCCAAGGACAGTAGATATTTACAAAACGTTGCCCCGCCATGCCAGCTTTCTCCCATTCCACACTCCTCAGGGACATTTTCCTCCTGCCTACCTGGACTTCTCATCACTCACTTGGCGCGGGCTCATATTCCTCCTTCTACCTGCAATGCATCTTCTGCCTCGGCGATGCACATCAAAAACCACCTACTCTATAGTCTTCACCGAGGCTCCCCCGTCCTCCTCCAAACCCCCATAGTGTTGATGAGGAGTATAACACACCTGCCTAGGATCACAGTGACCTGTGACCGTGCCGCACTCCCAGGCCTGCTGCCTCATGAGCTCCCAGACGCCTGGAGCCACGTGACTTACTTCATATGCCCTGTGGTAGCCAGCAGGGCAGGACCTTTTTTGGGGGGAGAGCCAGAACCAGTATTTTTGCAGCGAATGAGCGTTGAGACCGACATGCGGCGAACGGTGCACAGGTGGTGAATGCGCCACGCCCTCCTCTTTAACAAGGTAGGGGTGCGGGAGGAGGAAGAGCAGAGGGGCAGAAGCTCCTGTACTTTCAGAACCAGTTCTCGGGAACCAGCAGTTAGCGTAATGGCTATGTCGCTGGACTCCCACGTAGTCGACCGCGGTTCGTGTCCCGGACCCGGTGGCTTAAAACTCACGCCGGGCGCATGTGCCTGCGTGCCCAAGATCCCGAGAGGAGAATGGAGGAGAAGGGATTGCGGCGTGGCCATCCCCCCTGGGGAGTGATTTCTCGCTTTCTGTCTCTATGTCTCTCTCTGTCTGTCTGGCGAGCGCACGTGCCCTACAGTGAAAATCTCTCCCCCCCCAAAAAAAAAAAAAACCAGTTCTCAGGCCCGGTGTTGGCCTTGCAGGAACCTGTAGTCCCGGCGTAGGAGAGAAGGAACCCTCCAGGCAGTAGCAGGTCGTCGGAGGGGACGTGGGAGTGCAGGGCGTCGCAGGTCGCCCACCGCGGCTGTCTCTTCTCCCCTCGACCGACCGTCCTTAGAGTGCCTCTGAGCTTACCGCCCGCCAGGCGTCTCTCCTCACTGGCCGAATCTGTCTCCTAGGTGTCTGCCTGCACCAGGGTGGGCCAGGATGCTGCCCGGGGACGCTCTGGGTTCCTGTTCCCCTCTCCCCTGGCAGAGGGTGTGGGCAGGTCCAGAGCACGTCCACGTTTCTGCGTTGATTCTAAGGGAAATTAGTGCGACTGTGGCGTGGAGGGGAAACATGAGGCTGGAGAGACTAGAATGAGAAACTGAGGACTGCTTATTCGCGATGTCCGGGCTAGGATCTCAGCTCAGGCTCTCTTGATACCAAGCGTCGAAGTTTACAGAAGCTATGAGTGACTCAGTGCTGTCTAGACACCTTCCGAATCTGAATCTGCAGAACCGTATTACACAGTCTTGAGCCTCTGCTTAGCCAGCTCTCTAGCCACTTGGTTATCTACGTTTCTGTCATTATTTGTGACATAGATACGTATTCACGTCCCCTCTTAACTTTTTTTTTTTTTTTAACTTTTTTGCCAGGGGGTACACGTGCATTGCGTGCCTAAGAGGAAAAGAGAAAGAAGTGCAATCTGGTAGAACTGCAATCTTTTTTCCACCCCGTTAGGATCCTGGCACATGCGTGTGCACCTGGCGTGTTTTTTTAAACCATGGAGGCAGGCCCTTGAGCCCCGGTTGGTCACGTGGGGTCCGGCTTCCTCCGCGCAGTGCTTGGCATCTGTGTTCTGTGGCGGGGCCGACTTACCTCAACTGTAGAGTTCTAGCCAACGTGAGGTTCCTTTCCATCTCGAAGTGGGAAAACAAACATTTTGGGAGTTCTCTCAACGTCACATCAGCAGGTGTGAATTCCCTTCCCTTCCTGGCCTCCAGTTCACCTGTATACCCAGAAATGTCACACCTTGTACTTCTCTAACTCATGTTATTATCATAATTTCTTCTAAATTTTCCCATATTTTCTGAGCATAGCTGTTTTCCTTCACATAGCTCTAGTAGGCTGTAGGTTAATAATGGTGTTTCTCTTTTTTTTTTTTTTGGCCATAGGGTGCATGTGCACCTGCAGAGGGCTCCCAGGATGGGTAGCCACACTGCAGTCCCTTCTCCTCCAGTCTCCGCTCAGGACTTTGGGCATACACACACATGCACCCAGAGTGATTTTGTTTTGTTTTGTTTTTTTTCTTTTTGTTACAAGGCGCATGCACTCGCCAGAAAGACAGACAGAAAGTGAGAAATCACTCCCCGGGGGGATGGCCACGCCGCAATCCCTTCTCCTCCACTCTCCTCTCGGGATCTTGGGCACGCACGCACATGCACCTGGCGTGAGTTTAAGCCACCGGGTCCGGGACTTGAACTGCTGTCGACTACATGGGAGTCCAGTGACATAGACATTATGCCAACTGCTGGCCCCCTAGAGTGATTTTCAAGCCGCTGGGTCCAGGACTCAAACCATGGTTGGCCGTGTGGAAGTCCAGCCATGCCACCTGCTGGCCTAGTGTCGTTTCTCTTCCGACTGCTCATCTGGTGTTTCATCAGACTGTGGTCACAGCACGTCTCGATGAGACTTTGGACTCATGTTGGTGGGGGAAATGAGGCTCCGAGCTCGCTAATTCTCATCAAGTAGGTGCAGCCAGTTCTTTTTTATTTTTTCGGGGGGGGGGGGGGGGGGGTAAAGTTTTCGCAATAGGGCGCGTGTGCTCGCCAGACAGACAGAGACATAGAGATAGAAAGGAAGAAATCACCCCCCAGGGGGGATGGTCATGCCATAATCCCTTCTCCATTCTCCTCTTGAGATCTTGGGCACGCACGTACACGCGCCCGGCGTGAGTTTTAAGCTACCGGGTCCGGGACGCGAACCGTAGTCGACTACGTGGGAGTCCAGCAACATAGCCATTACGCTAAGTGCTGGTTCCCAGGTACAGCCAGTTCTTGCTGCATGGCAGGAGGAGTCTTTTCCATTCCATCAGCTCCACTCTAACACTAGGCTGCCTGAGCCTTCCTCATCTTCCTTCCTGTGATCCCGTAACAGGGACTTTGCCAGCGACGTCAAGAAGGTGCACCATTCAAAGCGAGAGGCCACCGTGGACAAAGGCAGCAGTGAAGACGAGGACAGTGAAGGCGACTGGGAAGAGGTCGAAGGTGAAACATCTTGTCTGTCTCTGCCTGCGTAACTACTTGCTTCTGTCTGTTTTGTGTTCCACCCTCCTTGGGGCCTGTCACTTACTGCAGTCTCGTTGTTTTCTTTTGAGATGAGCAAGACCGAAGATAAGGCTGTGATGGGGGGCTTGCTTTTTTTTTTTGGAGAGATTTTCACTGTAGGGCGCGTGCGCTCGCCAGACAGACAGAGAGAGACATAGAGACAGAAAGCGAGAAATCACCCCCCAGGGGGGATGGTCACGCCGCAATCCCTTCTCCTCCATTCTCCTCTCGGGATCTTGGGCACGCACGCACACGCGCCCGGCGTGAGTTTTAAGCCACCGGGTCTGGGACACGAACCGCGGTCGACTACGTGGGAGTCCAGCGACATAGCCATTACGCTAACTGCTGGTTCCCTGATGGGGGTTTGCTTTGACGTAAGAAAAAGTTCATGACCAGCTTCCTGAAGGAGGCTGCGTGTTCTCGTCCTCTGACAACCGTGCCTAGATTGAGTCTGAGTACAGAGGCAGCGTCGTGCTAAAAAGAAGCCCAGGAACAGCTGCTGTTTACTGTGAGCAGAAGAAACACAGGCCCATTCCATTCATAAACGTTTTTCTTTTTTCCACAGTCATCCTAGCGTGGGGACCAGCAGTTGGCGTCATGGCTATGTCGCTGGACTCCTGTGTAGTCGACCGCGGTTTGAGTCCCAGACCTGGTGGCTTAAACTCACACCAGGCACGTGTGCGTGCGTGCCCAAAATCCCAAGAGGAGAATGGAGGAGAAGGGATTGCAGTGTGGCCATCCCCCCGGGGGGTGATTTCTCACTTTCTGTCTTTCTGTCTCTGTCTTTCTGGAGAGCGCACGCGCCCTATAGCAAACACCTCTCCAAAAAAATAAAAAAGCATGTAGACTCTGTACAGCTCATAGAAAGCGCCCAGTACTTAGCGAATGTTACCCGTGGAAAATGCACAGTTCAGAGATTTGGTGACTTGCTCGTACAACCATGTAAGTGACAGTGTTGGTGGTCACTGAACCCGGGTCAGACAACTTGCAAAACCTGTTCTCTCTCTGTCTCTTAAATTTGCCAGAGTGCGTGCACTCAGTGCAGACAAAGAGGCAGAGGGAGGGAGGGAGGGAGGGAGGAAGAGAGAGAGAGAGAGAGAGAGAGAGAGAGAGAGAGAGAAGCAGTCCCCATCAGGGCTGGTCACACCACAATCCCTTCTCCTCCATTACTCCCTCCTTTTGGGATCTTGGGCACATGTGCATGCACGACTGCACGCGTTCGGCAGTGTGGGATCTAGCCGCGTTAACCTCCATGCCGTGAGCAGGCCCGTCGAGGCCTGTACATCCCGACAGGAGAATGGCCATCCTTCCTGGGGTGATGTCTCACTTGCTCTCTCTCTACCCGCTGTTTCTCTCCCGAGCACTGCCCGCACCACGTAGCAACATTTTTTCAAAAACCAAAACCTAAGTCTAAAGGCTTGTTTGAATTTGGAGTAGACTTTTTTCGGTAACGATACACCGTAGGTGGTGATTTTTCCCTCCTATTCCCTGTAATAAAAGGTTCCTACTGGAACCAGCAGTTAGAGTAATGACTATGTCGCTGGACTCCCACGTAGTTGAACGCGGTTCGTGTCCCGGACCCGGTGGCTTAAACTCACGCCAGGTGCATGTGCGTGCGTGCCCAAGATCCCGAGAGGAGAATGGAGGAGAAGGGATTGCGGCGTGGCCATCCCCCCTGGGGGGTGATTTCTCGTTCTCTATCTCTGTCTCTCTCTGTCTGGCAAGCGCACGCGCCCTATAGCAAAAACCTCTTAAAAAAAAAAAAGGTTCCTACTCATACATGGTCCCTCTACCAGTGAAGCCCAGTTTGAAGCTAGCGAGGCTACTGTATCCTCCTGTACCCTTACTTTTCTTGCTATAAACTTGAAACTACGTTTTATTTTTTTTTTTTTTCCCTTTTCCTCCAAGGAGCTCTGGTTCTTTTTTCCCTTAAAGTTTTTGTTTGCTTGCTTGTTTGTTTTTTGTCGTAGGGCACATGTGCTCACCTGAGAGAAACAGAGAGACAGAGATAAGGAAAGTGAGAAAACACCCCCCGGGGAGATGGCCACGCTGAAATCTGTTCTCCTTTTGGGATTTTGGGTATGCATACACATGCCCCCAGCGTGAGTTTCAGGTCACTGGGTCTAGGACTCATACTGGGGTCAGCCATATGGGAGTCCAGCACCTTAACCACCATGCTGCCTGCTGGCCCTCCTGGTTCGTTTTAGTAGGGACTATTGTGTAGAAGCCAAGATCTTGGCATCAGGTGTGTTTATTGACAGTGAGGTGTCCTGGCTTTAAGCTCAGAACTTTTTATAAAAGAGCATTTGCTGGGAGCAGCAGGTGGCATGGTGGTTAAGGAGCTGGTCTCCCACTTATTCAACTGTGGTTCAAGTCCTGGACCTGGTGGCTTGGAACTCACGCCAGATGCATATGTGTGTGTGTTTAAAATCCCAAGAGGAGATTAGAGGGGAAGGGATTGCAGTGGGGTCATCCCCCTTGGGGGGTGATTTCTCACTTCCTGTCTCTTTATCTCTTATCTCTCCAGTGAGCGCATGCATATATAGTAAAAATTTCTCAAAAGTAAGTAAATAAGGGAACCAGCAGTTAGTGTAATGGCTATGTCGCTGGACACTCCCACAGGGCCAACCACTGTTTGAGTCCCGGACCTGGTGGCTTGGAACTCACGCCAGATGCATATGTGTGTGTGTTTAAAATCCCAAGAGGAGATTAGAGGGGAAGGGATTGCAGTGGGGTCATCCCCCTTGGGGGGTGATTTCTCGCTTTCTGTCTCTATGTTTCTTTCTGTCTGTCTGGCGAGCGCGCACGCCCTATAGCGAAAACCTCTCCAAAAAAAAGAAAAGTAAATAAATAAATAAGCTTTTGTTAATGAAGCTTGTAATTAGATTCAATTCAGCAGGTTCATTTCATCTAGTATTTACAAGCAATGTAGGGGGGCCAGAAATGAAGAAAGAGGTGTTCCTTGTTACATACAAGTGTACAATTCAGAGTGAAAGACAGATATTCAAACCATGACTCCGTACAAAGCAAATTTCAGTGTGATTATAGCAGTACTGGGAATATGAGATTGTTCTTATTTGGCCTTTTTTTTAAAATAAGTGTCTACAAACCATGCTTGAATGTCAGCTCTTTGACAGCAGGGTCTGTATCTATTGTGTCATCAGAAAAGTCATGGCACTTTTTTTTTCTTTTAAGAGGTTTTTGCCTTAGAGTTCGTACACTCGCCAGAGAGACAGAGACAGTGAGAGGGAAAATGAGAAATCACCCCCTGGGGGTACGGCCATGCCGCAATCACTTCTTCTCCATTCTCCTCCTGAGATCTTAGGCATGTATGCACACCTGCCCAGCCTGAGTTTCAAACCACCAGGTCCGGGATTCGAACCATGGTTGACCGTGTGGGAGTCTAGTGGCGTAACCATTACGCTATATGCCAGCTCCTGTTAGGACACATCTTTGCATAGAAAAATATGTCATGACTTTTCCGATGACCTAAAAATGACCTTATTACCTCAGGGCTTTAGTTTTCTTGGCTGAAGACTTTGTGTCTGCGTTCTTGTGGGTTAAATGCGGCAGGCACGTAAGACGCTTAGCGCAGTGCCTGTTCTCGCAGGAACGCAAGGAGGGTTGCAGTGGGGTAGCGGTCTCCCAGCTCGTCCACCGCACCCCCATGCTCATGTGCTCCCGCCCAGCAGAACCTTGATTTGGTTCAGTCCAGTAGCTGGTAGTTTGGTTGTTGTTACTGATTGTTTAAAATGACTGTTGACAGAACTTAACGAGCCCATGCTCGGTGACGCGGGAGAAAGTGCAGCCCCCTCCCAGTCTGCTGTGCCTGTGAAGCCACTGGAGATAGAGATCGAAACGCCAGAGCAAGCCAGAACAAGAGAAAGAAGGTAAGCCGAGGCCCTGGCTGGTGCTCCCTGTCACATACGGTGGGCAGCAGCTGCTCCTCAGAGGAAACTGTGGACACACACTTAGGGCCCTGGGACTTTCGAAGTGGCCAAGAACCTCAGGAGAGAGAGCCTTGAGTCACTTTTTTGGGGAGAGGTTTTTTTTTTTTTTTTTTTTTGCTATAGGGTGTGTGCGCTTGCCAGAAAGAAAGACACATACAGACAGACAGAAAGCGAGAAATCACCCCCCAAGGGGGGATGGTCACGCCGCAATCCCTTCTCCTCCATTCTCCTCTCGGGATCTTGGGCACGCACGCACATGCGCCCGGTGTGAGTCTAAGCCACCCGGTGCAGGACGCGAACCGCAGTCGACTACTTGGGAATCCAGCGACAGAGCCATTACGCTAACTGCTGGTTCCCAGCCTTGAGTCACCTTTAAGAACATAAATGAGGGGCCAGCAGGTGACTTGGTGGTTACGGGTGGTGGACTCCCACATGGCCAACTGCGGTTCGAGTCCTGGACCTGGCGGCTTTCTCTCTTTCTCTCTCCCTCTCTGGTCAAATTGAAATAAATAAATGAATGAACAGATAAATCTAAATAAAATAATTGAAAAAAAGAACATGAATGAGAAACGTGTGTGTTCCGGCCTGGGCAGGAGGTGGGGGAAGGGGGCTCCTATGTGCCAAGGCCGTCCATTATCTTACCTGACCCTTAGAGAGTGGTTTCATCAGTGAGGAGCCCGAGGTTCAGAGGGTGTCGCATTTCAGAAGTCATTCGGGCAGTACGTGGGGCACACCGCAGCAGGACTCAGGTGGTGCCCACTCTCCCCAGGGCCCATAGGCACACAGCGCAGCGCCTGGCGGGTAATCGTGGGGGAATGCCGCTGCTCACAGCACGTGATTAGGCACAGAGGAGGAAGATGAGAGAAGTCCTTCAAGAAGCAACGGGACCAACAGATGGCATAATGGCTATGGTGTTGCTAGATTCCCATGTAGTTGACCGCAGTTCAAGTCCCGGACCCGGTGGCTTAAAACTCACGCCGGGCGCGTGTGCGTGCGTGCCCAAGATCCCGAGAGGAGAATGGAGGAGAAGGGATTGCGGCGTGGCCATCCCCCCTGGGGGGTGATTTCTCGCTTCCTGTCTCTCTGTCTCTCGCTGTCTTTCAGGCGAGCACACGCCCGGTAGCAAAAACCTCTCCCCCAAAAAAAGTGCCACCTTTTCTTGATGACTCAGGGAACATATGCAGGACAGCGGTGTTTCTACCAGACCAGCACTGTACAAGTGACCGAGGAGTCAGTCCAGTAGGTCGCTGGGACAGTCACGACATGCTTTTTCTATGCAAAAACGCGTCCTGACTTTCCTCGATGACGCGATACGTAAAAGTGGGAGGGAGTCAGTGGTTGGAAGGTTGGACACTCCGAGAGGGCTTCCTGGAGGAAGTGAGCTTCAGCAATTTGGTACTGGTTGACAGACAGTAGCCTGGGTAGAGACTGTCCCAAGCGAGGGTGGCAGGTGAGAACGAGCAGAGAGGGCTGCAGAGGAGCACTGGCTGGCGGGTGAGTCTGTGTCACTCAGCCTCGTGCAGGACACGGGGAGAGCGACTTCTGTCTTGGCGTAGGAGGAATTGCCCGGGGGGAGCGGGGTCTGGTTTCAGTTTCCCAGCCCACTCTCAGATCCCTCACTGTGCATTGCAGTGAGAAGATAAAAATGGAGTTTGAGGCACATCTTCGGAGGATGATGAAGCGTTTCAAGAAAGGAGTCCATGAGGACACCCACAAGGTAAGGGCAAGGATGACAGGAAGGCGGCGTCCTTGGGTGGAAAGAACTGGGGCCCTCAGTCAGCCCAGCCTCGGCTTTCTTCTGGCCCAGGTACTCACCCTGCAACCTTGGCAAGTTCCTTTTCTTTCTCTCGGGGAGATTTTTTTGTTTTTTTTTTTTTTTTTTGCTATAGGGCACTCACCAGAAAGACAGAGAGACCAGAGGCAGTGAGACAGAAAGCGAGAAATCACCCCCCGGGGGGGATGGCCATGCTACAATCCCTTTTCCTCCATTCTCTTTGCAGGATCTTGGGTACACACACTCACCCGGTGTGGGTTTAAGCTGCCAGGTCCGGGACTTGAACTGTGGTCGACTATATGGGAGTCCAGCGACATAGCCATTACGCTAACTGCTGGTCCCCCTTAGCAAGTTTCCTATTTACCCTGAGCCTCTGCTTCCTTTTCTGTGAAGTGGGGGGATGTCTACTTTGGAGGCTGGTTGTGAGGATTAAGTAAATATATTTTTAAAAATTATTATGGGGGCCAGATGGTGGCATGGTGCTTAAGGTGCTGGATCCCACACAGATGACTCTGCGGTTTGAGTCCTGGACCCGGTGGCCTGACAATAATGATACACGTGCCTACATCCCCCAGATCCCGATAGGAGAGTGGAGGAGAAGGGATCGTAGTATACGCACTTTCCCTCTCTCTGTCACTCTGTCCCTTTCTGGCAGGTGCACATGTCCTATAGCAAACCGCCCCCCCAAAAAAAAAATCATGTTTACTTCTTCCATGAGAGAGAGAAAGACACACCCCTCACAGGGCCCCCATACTGCGACCCCCCCTCCCCCTGTGCAGCCACAGCTCCCTGGGAGGACGACACACGTGTGCACCAGCACATACAGGAGGCCTCGGGGTGTGAACCCAGGACCTTCCCCAAGGTTCCAGCATTGCAAAGCATTGCGTTCCCACGGTGCTGGAGCCCCTGGCTGAGCAGGTACCGTGTGTGACGAGACTGCAGCACAGTGTCTGCTCTGTAGCAGGGCCAGATGGCACTCCCTTTCCATTTTGTTCTCTTTTTTTTTTTTTTTTTTTTTTGCTATTGGGCACAATGCGCTCACCAGAGAAAGACAGAGACAGAGAGAGAGAGAGAGGGAAACTGAGAAAGCACCTCCTGGGGGAGATGTCCACGCCACAGTTCCTTCTCTTATTTTCTTCTTGTGGTTTTAGGCATGCACACATAGACACCTGGCGTATTTTCCAGTGACTCTGGGAAGTTTGTATCTTTTTTTTTTTTTTCCTTTTCTTTTGGAGAGGTTTTTGCTATAGGGCGCGTGCGCTCGCCAGACAGACAGAGACAGAGAAACAGAAAGCAAGAAATTACCCCCCAGGAGGGATGGTCACGCCGCAATCCCTTCTCCTCCATTCTCCTCTCGGGATCTTGGGCACGCACGCACACGGGCCCGGCGTGAGTTTTAAGCCACCGGGTCCGGGACGCAAACCGTGGTCAACTACGTGGGAGTCCAGCGACATAGCCATTACGCTAACTGCTGGTTCCCGGAAGTTTGCATCTTGAAGCTTTGAGACGTGATGACTTCTTGGAAGGAATGAGTATATGGAAAGGGGGAACAGCAAAAGGCCAAGTCTTGCTAAGTGCCTGATGCAAGTAATTTCACTTTCTTTTTTTGGGAGAGGTTTTTGCTATAGGGCGCGTGCGGTTCCCAGAGAGACAGAGACAGAAAGCGAGAAATCACCCCCCGGGGCGGGGGGGATGGCAACGCCATAATCGTTTCTCCATTCTCTTCCTGGGATCTTGGGCGTGCACGCACATGCGCCTGGCATGGAGTTAAGCCGCTGGGTCAGGGACTCGAACCACTGTTGACTACATGGGAGTCCAACGACATAGCCATTACGCCAGCTGCTGGTCCCCTCCAGTAATTTCGCTTTCTCACATGTAGAAATATCATGCACGTGCTACCCGCAGAAGGTCCTCCCTGGGCAGCAGACGGCCCTGCTGTCCTCCCCGCCCCCTCACAGCCCGTGTCCGCAGGTTCACCTGCTGTGCCTGCTGGCAAACGGCTTCTATCGGAATAACATCTGCTGCCAGCCAGACCTGCGTGCCATCGGCCTCTCCATCATCCCAGCCCGCTTCACCAAAGTGCCCCCTCGAGATGTGGACGTCCACTACCTCTCCAGCCTGGTCAAGTGGTAAGGGCCGGGGGGGGTTCTCAGCTGCGGGTCCAGGAAGGCTGCTCCAGGAGGTGAAGTCCCAGTTGGGTCTTGTGTGACCAAACAGGAAAGCCAGCCTCACGGTTCACTCTCCGCCTTTTATTTCCTGACTCTCAAACAATGAGCATACCCGCTTGCTCTGCCCTGTGACCCAGGGAGTGCCTGCTCTGTCCCCAGGTTCATCGGGACGTTCACGGTGAATGCAGAGCTGTCAGCCAGCGAGGAGGACAGCCTGCAGACCACCCTGGGAAGGAGATTCGCCATTTACTCTGTGCGGGATGACAGAGAGCTGGTCCACGTGAGTCACCCTGGGGGCAGTTCTCCTCGCTCTCTGTGAACTCTCACTCAGTCGCCAGAGCCTCTGTCGGGACCGGAGCTTGGAGTGACTGAGTGATGTCCCTCAGTCGGGGCGTGTCGTGCCTTAGCCGAGGAGCTGGCCTGCGTGCCTTCCGCTGTATTTCTTGGTGCCCTGGTGGTCTAGGAGTGTTTCTACTAATTATTTAAATATTATGTATAGCGTTCCAAGGATGGAATCAGCAGATGGCATACTGGTTACATCGCTGGACTCCCACGCAGTCAACCGTGGTTCGAGCCCTGGACCCGGCAGCTTAAACTCATGCGGGTTGTGTGTGCGTGCCCGCCCAAAATCCCAAGAGGAGAATGGAGGAGAAGGGACTGTGGTCATCCCACTGGGAGATGATTTCTTGCTTTCTGTCTGTTTCTCTCTCTTCAGCAAGCATATGCAGCCTATAGCAAAAATTTCTTTCAAAAAAAAAAAAAGTCCCGAGGAAACTTTTTTCAGATTGGATGCGGAAAGCCTTGGGAGCGTGTTTCCACGTCTCACCTCTGGTGGCAGCACTGGCAGGCACCTGCAGCGAGGAGGGCTTTATTTTTTTTGTTTTTGGAGAGTTTTTATAGGGCACGTGCGCTCTCCAGACAGAGAGACAGAGACAGAAAGCGAGAAATCACCCC